TCAGAAAGTAACCTTTGCAGTCCTGCATATATATTCATTACTCAATGTTTTATGTAATGAATAATAACAGGCTAATACAGCTAGCTAGCTTTATAAATACGTATTTGTGTAATTACTCTTAAGAGCATACAGGAATATTAATGATATATTTATTTTTACAGAAGGCACATCTTACTGCACCACCACTGCCCAGCAGTGCCCAACAGAGCCCAGCAATGCCCAGCAGTGCATAACTGGGGAATAATCCTCAATGAACTTTCCCTCTCTACTGCTTGTCAAAGTTATTGATGTATTTATCCAAGAAAACTCAGACAAAAACAAAATCATGATTATTACTCATACATAATGGCACTCTCAGAAGTTTTGCATGTGTTTATTTAATATAAAACACATTTAGAATGTTGAGATATACATCATACACACACATCAGTGTTTTGATAAAAGTGATATATATTTTAAAGCTTTTCCTAAAATTTGCACATTTTTAAAAAATTCTGTTTCTAAATGATCCTCTAATAATATAAACCAATTTAACAAAAGTATGACAAAAATACTGAAAAATAACCTATGATCAAATTATAAGCCTCTGATACATTGCAAAACTTTTTTGTAGTCCTGTATTATAATATTCCTAGACACAATAAAGATGATAGTGTCTGGGGATCAGTTACCAGGTTTAATGTAAGGAAGAGAAGGGTAACTATTAGATCAAGAATCCTCCTTCACTAGCACCTGGTAACCTCCCTTGATGGCACTGTCTAATAGTCTTTAAAAAAAAAACATAATTTAGCCACTCAAACTACCCTAGCAAATGGAGGGGTTGACTATAAAGGAAATTCTGCAATCTTAAAATGTTTCACTAGAAATATATGTTCGCTATATAGAGAGTAATACATTATAAACATTTATATATTATTATAAAGCCAGGCTTCACTCTTCATGCATTTCATTTATTTTATGATGGTGCATATTAAAACTTACATTAGTTAACTCGTATGAAAATACAATGTGTTTATTTAATATATTCTAAAAGCTTTAGTAAATGAAAAAAGCATCAAAGTGTACATTCTGCGTTACTCAAATACATACATGCATACCAAAATTTGGTCAACCATTGCTAGTTATGTATATATATAAAGAAAAGTTAAAATAACTGATAGGGAAGTATATAAACACATTTTTATATGTAATTATTTATAATAAATTGTAACTGTATACAATATTCACATTTCCAATGCATTTACATCATATACTATATAGAATGAAGTTAACACAAGTATTTACTGAAACAATACAATTAACATACAAAGTCTTCAAGGTACTGCAAACAATTTTAAATGTTTAAAATTGTTTATCTATACTGTACACGTCAGTGAAAATATAAAAAGTGTAAAAGATTTGTAGCGTTGAAGTTAATAATGTTCATTATCTTGGAGAGAAAACTTGTCGGTCTTCAGACCGAAGGATTCATCATCAGTCTTTATTTTGCAACTGTGTAGAAAATGAGAACTATTACAGTTCTGAAAATAATTAATATCTTGTATCATGTGTATCTTAATATATCAAGCTGTATGACCTATGCAGGTTAACTGCTTGCTTATTAATGGGGTTTAACCCGTAAATGGTCCAAACAGCAGTTGAATGAATGATAGTGAATGTGATTCCTTGTTTTAGGGTCACCCGTCACTTTATCTTGTTAGCAAGATGAAGGATTTATTATAATGGGTAAGATTGTAGAGGACCAAAACTTTCAATATTAAATGATCAGTAATGTTATCTATATAAAATCTTATAATTTCAAATTATGAAACAAGATATTGCAGCTCTTTCTGTCACTGAAACTGCTACATTGTAGCAATGTGTCTTCCTTCTTGAGTCATTGCCAAAAAACAAGGTTAGTTTGACATCTGGGATGGTAACCAATAATGTACCAGGACCATTTCCGAGTGCTGAGGAATTTACTGCAATATATAATAGAAAAATGATAAAAGAGACAGGGATGAGGCTGGAGGACAGTGTAAGATGGGGCTGGGGATAGTGAGGGAAAGGTCTGGGGGACAGTATTGGACTAGGCTTGGGGACAGAAATCCCCAAAATTGTCCACAGGTAATTTACAGGGAGTGGAAGTACAAATACACTGTACATACATATCAGAACAAAAATTCATTTTAACATATTTCAATCAGTTTAGCTCTAAGTGTGTTCATACTACAATAGCAGTCAGCATCTTTGTGACTTCCAAACTACAGATGAATTAACCAGTGTAACATCTACAAGAACTGTGCCTGAAGTTCTGAGGATTGGCTGTGTTGTGAGTGAATACGAGTTTATTGCTTATAAACTACAATTATTATCATAATAAAAAAAACCCACTAAACCTACAAGGGTCATACAGTGCAGCAGGGCAGGGAAGGATGCAGGAGTATTGGGTAGCAAGAGGAAGAGGGATTATTATTAGGTCATGGAGTGCAGCAGGGCAGTGGATAGTGCAAGGGTAGAGGGTATCAAGAGATTGAGGTAGAAAAGGCTGTGAGGAGTGCTAGAGGCATCATCATCAGAGTTTGTGCAGTAATCAGTTGCTGTCAAGAAGTCAATGAGTGGGTTAAAGGAAAATCCATCAGCAAGAAGGGAAGGTAAAGTAAGGGCAGTAAAGCAGTGACGACATTGGGGGTAAATTCTGAATGCTCGTTGTTAGAGTGGGCAGTCCAACAGAATATGGCTAACAGAAACTGGAACCTGACATATTCTCACAGAGTGGAAAAGGGCACCTCTCCATGAGATACCTGTGAGTAAGATGAGTGTGGCCTATGCGAAGACAAGAGAGAGCAGTCTCCCAACCTCGACATTGATGACAAGATGGCCTGAAACCTATACTTGGTTTAATAGAATGTAATTTGTTATGCAGCAGATCAGACCAACGTTGTTGCCAACGGGTGTGAACGTGGGTAGCAATTACAGCAAAATAGTCTGTGAATGGAACACCTCACACAAATAACCCGCACATAAAAGAGAGAAGCTTACGACGACGTTTCGGTCCGACTTGGACCATTTACAAAATAGGACCGAAACGTCGTCGTAAGCTTCTCTCTTTTATGTGCGGGTTATTTGTGTATCGTTCCAGTCACGGTATTGTGCCTTTTTTTGTTATTAATGGAACACCTCTATATGAAACTGGGAGGTCATATACTGCTGACCACACAGCAGTGTCTGCCTGTTCATTGCCCTGTACGTCAACATGACCAGGGATTCAACAAAAAACAATATCTTTATGCTTGCTACAGATACAGTGTAACCAAAGTTGGATACGAAGAACCAGGGGATGAGGTGTATCAAATTTTCTTATAGCCTGTAAAGCACTAAGGGAGTCTGAAACTACCACAAATGATGACACAGGCATAGATGCAATATGGATAAATGCTACGAGAATGACATACAATTCAGCCATAAAAACAATTACACCATAGCATTATTTGACACATATGGGTTCAGTGTTTTTTGGGGGGAATGTAATAATAATTTTGTTTGTACTGCACAAGCATTAAGAAGTAAACTTAGCAAACAATAGTGGAATGGTATAAATTTATTCAAGATATTCAAGAAGACTAATAATGTGAGGTGTCAGTGTCTACCATATTAATCTTCATGTAAGTTATCAGATGAATTTTTCCAGAGGTTAAAATGTAATATTTCCTCAGGTGCTGTGAAAGATGACAATTACCTATGTAATAAGGTTGTCACCAACACTGGCTAGTCATACTTGTGATCACCACCACTGGCTACTCACACTTGTGGTCACCAACACTAGCTAGTCATACTTGTGGTCACCAACACTGGTTACTCATACCTGTGGTCACCAACACTGGCTACTCATACCTGTGGTCATCAACACTGGCTACTCATACCTGTGGTCATCAACACTGGCTACTCATACCTGTTGTCACCAACACTGGCTACTCATACCTGTGGTCACCAACACTGGCTAGTCATACCTGTGGTCACCAACACTGGCTAGTCACACTTGTGGTTACCAACACTTGCTAGTCACACTTGTGGTTACCAACACTGGCTAGTCATACCTGTGGTCACCAACACTGGCTAGTCACACTTGTGGTCGCTGCAGACACAAAGGGCAAAGGCGCCTGGCTAATATGACATATAAGTAGCTGACTAATACTTCCATAATGGCTTGAACAACAGTTATGAGTATAAGCTAAACAGAAATAAATAGACTGTCTTTTAAGAAAGAAATGCACTATGTGAAACTGGGTAAGCACTAAAAGACATACTTTTTTCTAAGCCCATATGAGTTTAGTGCTGCCACATAATAATAATACTGTAACAATATTTGTACTAGGTAGCACTGATTACTTAAGGTTTGGTTTAAAAGTACACAAGCCACCACAAGTTACAGTAGTTCCCCCGTATCTCCAGGTGATATAGTCCAAGACCTACTGCGGACACCCGAAAGTGTGGACAGTAGAGAATCCTACATTATAAGTTATTTTTTGTTTATATACATACCTATGATAAAGTTTAATTGATAAATTACACACAGTAAGACATTACAATGTTAATGGTTGGGGATCATCAGTAGTGAAGATGGTTTGTTTTTCAACCTTTTGGAAGAAACATTGTGATAGGAAGTTGTTGTTTCTTTATTTTCAGCTCCTCAAACATTTGCTGCAGAGGTTCTAATGCTTCAGTGATAATATGGGTGACTTTAATTTTGTGTTCCATCACAGGATCGTAATCCATGATTTTTTCCTTTAAAGTTTGTGCAATTCAAAACACTTCATCAAATTTTTCAAATGTCCATATTACTGGTTTCACCATGTCACTTAGAATGGTGTGCAATTTCAAACTTATGAATTGTTTATTTCTGAAATTTTCCAGCAGATAACTGAAACTGCAGAAACCCAATCTACAGATACAGGGGTTCTACTGCATTTTGAATTTGCAGATTAGGTAAATTTACAATCATAAATAATTTCAATGATCACTAATATTAATACATTTTATTGATATTTTTTTTACAAATTAAGCATGCAGAGCTCCTTTGTATAATGAAAAAGGGGATAAAAGAGCAAGTAAGAATTACAGAGGAATAAATCTGTTGAGGGTACCAGGATTATTAATGAAAGAGTTAGGAGTAAGAAACAGGGAGAAGCAAGAAGGATTGAGGATGTGTTGATCAAGTGTTTACATTGAAGCTATGGGAACAATCCTTAAATAGGAATAAAATATTGTTTGTCACATTTATGGATTTAAAAAAAAAAGCATATGATAATGTGGATTAGGATGTAATGTGGCAGATGTATAGAATAGATAGCACGTTATTAAAGCAGTAAAATGTCTTTATGCAAAGAATGAGGCTTAGGATAAGGTATGCAAGAGAAGGCGATCATTTTCAAATGAAAGTAGTCTTTAGATAGGGAAGTGGGATTTCAAATTGGTTGTCTAATGTTTATAGTTGGAATCATAAAGGTTAATGATGTGCTGGGGAGAAGTAATAGATTAAAAGGTAATGAATCTGATATGAAGTGAATTGTTACAGTTGCAGTTTGCCGATGATATGGTTCTTTTGGGAGATTCTGAAGAGAAGAAATAAAATTTGGTGGAAGACTGTGTGAAAGAAGGAAAGTAAAGGACAACATACAAAAGACAAGGCGGTGAGGGTAACAATAAGTCTAGGCAATGTAAGATTGGACATCAGATGGGAAGGAGAAGAAGTGAAAGTATTTAGATAATTGGGAGTGGACATGTTGCTATTTGGGCCTGAAAGATAAGGTGAATAACAGAACAGATGAAAATGGGCAAGTGAAGTGCTGAAGAATCTGTGGGAATAAAGAAATTCATCTATGTAGGCAAAAAAGAAGAATGTACCAATGTATAGTTGTATCAATCCTTTTCTATGGATGAAGAATGGGCTTTAAATATTGTAGTGAGAAGAAGGCTGGAGGCAGTGGCAATGTTATGGGCATATATTCATGTTTGAGAGCAATGTGTGGTCTGAATATTATGTAAAAAGTTTTGAGTGTAGAAAAGAGAAGTATATGTGGTTATGGAAGGTATGGTTCAGAGGGCAAAGGAGGGGTTGTTGAGGTGGTTTGGGTATTGAGAGAGGATGGAGCATATTAGGACAACTAAGAGGGTGTATAAATCCAGGGTGGATAGGAGAAGTGTAAGGGTCATCCCAGGAAGGGTTGGAGGATGTAAAGGTTTAAAGTGGTAGGGGCTTGAGAATCCAGCAGGCATGTGTTAGATTGGGGTAAATGAAGACGAGCAGTTTGATGGGCTGCTGGTGTGAGAGCAATATAACATTATGATAGCATTTAGAGGAACTGGTAAACCAAATTTAAGTTCAAGAGGTGGGAAGTATAGTGCCTGCACTTTGAAGAGGGGTGAGGATGTTGCAGGTCAGAGGATCATTTGAATTGTAATGTTTACATTTTTGGCAAGAAAACTGAATGAATGAATGATGGTGAATATTTTGTTCTCTTTGGATAACCCTACCTACCTTGACAGAGAGCCAATGTGCTAGAAAGGGAAATGAAGCTTTGGTAAGAAACACTAAAATTCTAATAGAACAGGATTCAAACTCATGTCAAGCCAGTCCTAAAACTAGTGTACAGAAATATACCTAGTTGGATGTATCTTATTCGGCCAGTATAGTACAGTGATAAAAGTACTGACAGGGGCAGCTCCAAAATGCCTGTACAGAGGGAGCTTTGTGGTGGCAATCTGATTGGAAAGGGAGGGAGGGGGAAAGCTAGAGGATGTTTTTTGAAGCTGCATTATTATTTAGTGGGGATAGTAACGATTATGAGGGGGCTTCAGCACCAGTTCTCCTCCATTGGTGCCACCACTGAATACTGACCTGCTAGATTTATGATTGACTTGCCATGGGGTTGAAACCTTTCTGCTCTGTGAGTTGTTTACAATCATGTTATTACAGTGTCATGACTCAGATATGTTACGATGTTTCTCTTGGAATCACAGATAAAGTGTAACTAGCTATTCTCTCCTTGAATAATGACTTAATTTAAAATGTAAAGATGGCTCATAAGTGACTAGGTCTTTGAACTGAATAATGGCAAACTTTAACTACTACATCACCTTCATTAATTACCATAACTTTTCCGAGGTAATGACACGAAACGGCATAAACCTTTACATTACAATGCTTCACTAATTAAGAACTTTATTCAATTACACAGATAAAATATCAGGCAAAGAGTGGAGGTGAGAACCTGGTCATCCAACTTGAGCTGCTGTTTGGGCGTGGTCAGGTGATGTAGAAGGTAGGTAAGTGTGAAAGCACCATGATTTTTCTCTACAGTCGTAAGTTCAGATAGTTGGAGGCATCTTCCATGCATATTCTGACCCTGTCTTGAAGAGATGGGTTTTATCCCAAAAGTTGTGCATAATAGGCATTGTGTTATACACATGTATATATGTTCTAGTTATGTGTTAAGATAATGAGAAGCTTCCTCATGTAGAATCTGCTGCACCCAACACAAGGAATGATGTAGATGTTATCTGTGCTGTTAGATGTTTTGTGGATACAGGGTCTTGTGATGTTCTTAATGTTTTAGATGATACCACACACAGCAGTTTTAATTTAGTGGAGAATGGGTGTAACTCTAGTAGTAGTTAGCAATGAAAAGAGCTAAATGCCTGGTGACCTGTGTTCTCAGGGATTCCAGGTCATATTTTGCCTCATGTCTACAATCTGCAATAAAATGCTGGGGAATTAAAGTGCAGCAAAGCTGTCAATGTAGCAGTACTTCTCCAAAGCTCCACAGAAGAACCAAGTCAGAACCCCACACCTGATTTTTCTATCACAGTTTGTAAAATATGGGATTAGGTCATCCTTATTGATGGGTCCTCTGTAGACCTTGAATCTGAACATATTTCCATCTTTTAGTAGAGCATCAAGGGGAGAGACTAATCCGTTTGTTACTCAAAAATGACTATACACCCAACTGAAGGTCTACAAAAAACCCACCAGTAAGAGTGACTTTATCCATATTTGTCGCAATAACAGATAAACCAAACATGGGGTCCTGGTCAGGTTCTTCCCCAGAGCCCATAGGATTTGCAGCATTGAATACTTAAAAAAAAGAAGTGTCACTGTAATCAGACTAAGTGCTAAACCCAAAAGGGTCATACAACATTGCAGAGCGAAGAGTGCTGTTGTATCTCCAACAGCCTTGCTAGGATTAAGCTCAGTCAGCAACATATTGAAGATTGCAGAAATAAGACATGCTGCATCTTGGAATCCCCCCCGGAAGAATGAGGTCTACTGCTGTATACGTACTTCCACAGATGCATCCATTCTTCAAAAAGTTAATAATTAATGTGGCAGTGGGATTATCCCAAACCATTAAGAACATTACTAGACTTTATTTCTGCAATATATCAATCAACACAGCCAGAGTCTGCATCATTTCTTATGGTGGGAGCAGCAAATTCTCTGTAGGGAAAAAAGTGTGTAGTTCATAGGGAAAAAATACACTCTGTTACATGAAGATATGATCAGGAAGAAAAGCATGAAAACGACTTTCATCCAAATCTATGACTCAGCAGAGCCAAACAAAGTCATTTTACACTTACTGCGCTACTCTCCCATATCCTCCTAAGTCACCTTAACTCTATTGCATAGCTGCACAAATCAAATGACTCAAGTTCTCATCTCTCTTCACCTTATGGAATGGACGAAGTCCTCACTTCTTTTCACCTCATGGGATGGACCAGGTTTTCAACTCTCTTCACCATTATAATGGGATGGACTATACACAGTAGCTAACATATTTTCTGTATAGCCTAATATCTCTCTCCTCAAGCAGAATAATACTTAAAGTTTTTTTTTGTTTCAAACTTCATTTTCATCTACACAGCATTAATTTTGTAAACATTAAAATACATTTGAATTCAATTTATTACCATTACAGAATAATTTTATAAAGAAATATAATTTGGAAGGGTTTGTCAATCTGATAACCCATATGCAAGTTGCAGAATTACAGAAGGCCGCACCACAGGTGGAAACAACAGGCATTGACGAAGTCTTGTATAAGACCTTGAATACGACAGTCTATGGATGCTCGTGATGACCCCTCACCCTTCAGTTGCTTGTATACACAGCATAGTTCCTGAAGACACAACATTAACAGTCTTCATTTTCTATCAGATATGCAACCTGAGTCTTAACAAGCTGAATTTCTATAATTTTCATTATTTTGTTTAAACATTATATTTAGTTTAAAAATTTACAAGTAAAAATTTTTTAGATAAATTACACTAATCTATATTAGTTATAGAATTTACAGCAATTTTATATCAATCTAATATAAAAATTACAATATGGAGAACCTGAAAAATTATATTTTTAACTTTGTGATAGTAAAAAAATTTCAACAAAGGAGTTTTTTCTTAATGCAATGTTTTACCCACTTGGGAGTTTTGTCCAATAGTATAGTGGTACCTTGTGTTACAAGCTTAATTTGTTCCAGAAGGCTGTTCAAGTGCCGATACCGAATGAATTTACTCCTCCCACAAGGAATAATGAAAATTAGATTAATCAGTTTCAGACCCCCAAAAATACACTTACAAAAGCACTTACAAAAATACACTTGCATAATTGTTCGAGTTGGGAGCTGCTCGTAACTCTAGGTACCACTGTGCATGGAATACGTGTAAATAAAAACATGGTGTGAATAGCACATGGTGATAGCAATGTGTTGTTGGGAGAGGTTGTGTGTTGTCACAGATGAGTTCAAGTGATGCTGGACAAAGACAAGGTCGAGAGTCAGGTTGTAGTAACTTGTTTTACATGCTGATACAAAATTATCTGTGAAATGGGTACATCCATCTGTTTTGTTCTGTGGTATTGGTGAGGTGGATGGTGGCAGCCTCAAGACACCTGTATTTAGCCCGGTTATTTTCTTTGTAAATAAGATATCCTTGTTTTCAGTCCATAATGGGTAAATGTTTACTGTGGTGTAACACATGTTTTGCTTGTGTGTCCTTTATTTTACAAGTATATTATAATCTGGAGGTAGTAGGTTGATAGACAGCAACTGCCCAGGGAAGTACTACCGTCCTGTGGTAGTAGGCTGGTAGACAGCAACCACTGAGGGAGGTACTACCGTCCTGCCAAGTGAGTGTAAAATGGAAGCCTGTAATTGTTTTACATGATGGTAGGATTGTTGGTGTCCATTTTTCTGTCTCACAAACATGCAAGATTTCAGGTACATCTTGCTACTTCTACTTAAACTTAGGTCACACTACACATACATGTACAAGCATATATATACACACACACCCCTTTGGGTTTTCTGCTATTTTCTTTCTAGTTCTTGTTCTTGTTTATTTCCTCTTATCTCCATGGGGAAGTGGAACAGAATTCTGTTGTAAGAGGCGACTAAAATGCCGGGAGCAAGGGGCTAGTAACCCCTTCTCCTGTATAAATTACTAAATTTAAAAAGAGAAACTTTTGTTTTTCTTTTTGGGCCACCCCGCCTTGGTGGGATACGGCCGGTTTGTTGAAAGAAGAATATATACACACTCCTTTGGGTTTTCTTCTATTTTCTTTCTAGTTCTTGTTTATTTCCTCTTATGTCCATGGGAAAGTGGAACAGAATTCTTCCTCCATAAGCCATGCGTGTTGTAAGAGGCAACTAAAATGCCGGGAGCAAGGGGCTAGTAACCCCTTCTGTATAAATCACTAAATTTAAAAAGAGAAACTTTCATTTTTCTTTTTTGGGCCACCCTGCCTTGGTGGGATACGGCCGGTTTGTTGAAAGAAAAAGGAGGAGGATTGCTGGTGTCTTTTTTTCTGTCTCATAAACACGCAAAATTTCAGGTACATCTTGCTACTTCTACTTACACTTAGGTCACACTACACACACATTTACAAGTATATATATACACACTCCTCAGGGTGTTCTTCTATTTTCTTACTAGTTCTTTATTATTATTTTTATTTATTAACACATCGGCAGTTTCCCACCAAGGCAGGGTGGCCTGAAAAAGAAAAACTTTCATCATTCACTCCATCATCATCTTGGCAGAGGTATGCTTACACTACAGTTATAAAACTGCAACATTAACACCCCTCCTTCAGAGTGCCGGCACTGCACTTACCATCTCCAGGAATCAAGTCCGGCCTGCTGGTTTCCCTGAATCCCTTCATAAACATTACCTTGCTTGCACTCCAACAGCACATCAAGTCCTAAAAACCATTTGTCTCCATTTACTCCTATCTAACACACTCATGCACGCCTGCTGGAAGTTCAAACCCCACACACACAAAACCTCCTTTACCCCTTCCCTCCAACCTTTCTTAGGCTGACCCCTACCCCGCCTTCCCTCCACTACAGATTTATACACTCTCCAAGTCATTCTATTTTGTTCCACCTCTCTACATGTCCAAACCATCTCAATAACCCCTCCTCAGCCCTCTGGATAATAGTTTTGGTAATCCTGAACCTCCTCCTAATCTCTAAACTACGGATTCTCTGCATTATATTCACACCACACATTGCCTATGAGTTCTTGTTCTTCTTTATTTCCTCTTATCTCAATGGGGAAGTGAAACAGAATTCTTCCTCCGTAAGCCATGCGTGTCATAAGAGGTGATTAACATTCTGAGAGCAAGGGGCTAGTAAGATAAGATAAGGTGGCTAACCTGGAGGGTTAGCCACCCAGGATAACCCAAGAAAGTCAGTGTGTCATCAAGGACTAACTTATTTCCATTGGGGTCCTCAATCTTGTCCCCCAGGATGCGACCCACACCAGTCGATTAACACCCAGGTACCTATTTGCTGCAAGGTGAACAGGACAACAGGTGTAAGGAAACGTGTCGAAATGTTTCCACCTGCCAGGAATCGAACTCGGGCTCTCCGTGTGTGAAGCGGGAGCTTTAGCCACCAGGCCACCCCTTCTGTATACATTACTAAAGTTAAAAAGAAGAACTTTTGTTTTTCTTTTTGGACCACCCTGCCTCGGTGAGATACTGCCGGTCTGTTGAAAGAAGAAAGAAGAAATACATAGGATAACAGGTATATCTTGCTGCTTCTACTTACACTTAGGTCACACTATACATGCATGTACAAGCATATATATACACCCATCTGGGTTTTCTTCTATTTTCTTACTAGTTCTTGTTCTTCTTTATTCCTTTTATCTTCATGGGGAAATGGAACAAAATTCTTCCTCTGTAAGTCATATGTGTTGTAGGTGGCGACTAAAATGCTGGAAGCAAGGGGCTAGTAACCCCCTTTCCTGTATAAATTATTAAATGTAAAAGGAAAAACATTGGTTTTTCTTTTTAGGTAACCCCTGCCTTGGTGGGATATGGCTGGTGCATTGAAAAAAACAATTATGTACTTTGTTTACAGATGTATCACCAATTTCTGAGTCAGTTGTGAATATGCAGCCTCTTATAAGAAGTGGCAATGTATTTATATTTAGACAGAGACATAACTACTTACTGCTTTCTGATGATGGAGATTTATAGAGAGCATCATAAAGGCATCAGAACACGTCGAGCTTAGCACCACCACATGCTGAATGTTACCGTCATTAGATGTTAAACTCCTATTTGAAGAGAAAATATATATACAGAATACAGTAAAGTCATAAAGCATATCCTTCACAACAATTTATACATTCAAGGTCCATACTGTACTGAAAAAAAGTGTATATCAAGTCTTAGTATACATAAAGTGTCCAAGAGACTACATTATACATATATGCAGTAGAGCCCCACTTATACAGCAAGACAGGTTCCAGGCTACCGCCGGAAAGCGGACATTGCCAGAAAGCAGAATGCTATTTTTTCCACTTATAAATGTGTATAAATGTCAGATATCAAGTTTACACTAACATATATTACATTAGCATTAGAACTAGGCATTAAAAAACAATAAAAAGTAAAATACACACACAGTACACCTATTACTTACCTTAAAATATATGTAGTGTTAATGTAGGGTGAAAGATGAGTAGTATTTATTTGTAAGAAAAGTCAGGTGTGGGAGGTATGGCAGCCAGCCAGGCTACGCCACCCACACATAATGTACAACAACATTTAAAGTGCCCCTGAGTGATAAAATGCATATACAGTACACTCTTTACTTACCTTAAAATATCTGTAGTCTTAATATAAAGTGAGAGGTGAGTAAACAAGGTAAAATGAATAAACAAGGTAAAATGAATAAATGAGAGAGAGAGAGAGAGTCAATGAGATTATTATTATTATAATCATGGGAGAGTGCTAAACCCATAGGATTATACAGAGCATGTGGGAGGGGGGGGGGAATGGAAGGTATTCAGACTCAATTCAGGCAATCAGAACACAGGTCCAATTCCCTAGCTCAAGAGCCCCTCACCAGCATCAAGGAGAGAAATGGAAATGGTGATAATGGCACACTTCCTCATCATGTACTAAACTGTATAACTGTACAACCTCTTCTATGTTAATTTTTATACTTTAAAAATCATAAATTTAATGAGAATATTTACCTAATTTTGACCTTAACGTATATTTCATATTTATTCGTAACGCTTAAATTTCATAATTATTCAATGTTATAATATATTATAAACCCTTGATTTAACTTATTGTAATACAACAAACTTTAGAAATATGGGACAAAATCTGCTGGGTTACTGTATTCTGAAAAAAAAGTTGTTTACAGAACTGTCCATAACTGCTATGATCATGGTAAACAGTTTTGTCTCTTTCAATAATAATCACCATTAGTCCATTAAATTAAGGATTGACTGTTAATAAGAGTAGTGTACCTGTGGCGCTCCTGGTACTTGGACTGTAAGACCCTGGTCAGACCTTGGTACCACTGCAGAGGTTTAGACAGGAGGGGTAAGAGTTGTGGGTCGACTGCACTCAGAGGCTCAACACTCACCATGCTCAACAGTTCACTTAGCTCACTGAAGCTTAAACCACTAAGTATCTGTAAGACAACCAGTAAATAAATTACTTTAATCACAGAAATTAATATAAAAAATACAAATATTGTTTGCCCTGCATATTACTACTTCTTTTAGTACATTAACCATTTCCCATTAAGATAAAGCAACCCCAAGAAAGATATATTTGCCAGCATTCACAATTTAATACATACACTGGCCATTTTCCACTTAGGTAACCCATGAAAAATGAAACTCATCCATCAACTTCCAAATCAATAGCTTTAATAATTTGCAAAGGTTAGTATAAATTGTACCTCAAATAATCAGAATTATTGTCATTATTGTTATTACAGTCATGAGGGAGCGCTAAACCTGTAGGGATCATGCAGCACTAGGGGAGAATGGAAGGCACTCAGACTCGATTCAAGGAATTAAAGCACAGATCTAATTCCTTGGATCAAGAGACCCTTCACCAGCATCAAGGAACCTCCCTTGAGGGATCATATAATCTCATTAATATGCAAGATTTCAGGTACATCTTGCTACTTCTACTTACACTTAGGTCACACTACACATGCATGTACAAGCATATATATACACACCCCTCTGGGTTTTCTTCTATTTTCTTACTAGTTCTTGTTCTTATTTTTGCTTATCCCATGGGGAAGTAGAACAGAATTCTTCCTCTGTAAGCCATGCATGTCGTAAGAGGCGACTAACATGCCAGGAGCAAGGGGCTAGTAACCCCTTCTCTTGTATACATTACTAAAGTTAAAAAGATAAACTTTTGTTCTTTCTCTTTGGGCCACCCTGCCTCAGTGGGATACGGCCAGTTTGTTGAAAGATGTGTATGTACTCACCTAGTTGAGGTTGCAGGGGTCGAATCCAAGCTCTTGGCCCCGCCTCTTCACTGATCGCTACTAAGTCACTCTCCCTGAACCGTGAGCTTTATCATACCTCTGCTTAAAGCTATGTATGGATCCTGCCTCCACTACATCGCTTCCCAAACTATTCCACTTCCTGACTACTCTGTGGCTGAAGAAATACTTCCTAACATCCCTGTGATTCAGCTGTGTCTTCAACTTCCAACTGTGTCCCATCTCTGGAACATCCTGTCTTTGTCCACCTTGTCAATTCCTCTCAGTATTTTGTATGTCATTATCATGTCCCCCCTATCTCTCCTGTCCTCCAGTGTCGTCAGGTTGATTTCCCTTAACCTCTCCTCATAGGACATACCTCTTAGCTCTGGGACTAGTCTTGTTGCAAACCTTTGCACTTTCTCTAGTTTCTTTACGTGCTTGGCTAGGTGTGGGTTCCAAACTGGGCCTAACGTACACGGTGTACAGGGTCCTGAACGATTCCTTATTAAGATGTCGGAATGCTGTTCTGAGGTTTGCTAGGCGCCCATATGCTGCAGCAGTTATTTGGTTGATGTGCGCTTCAGGAGATGTGCCTGGTGTTATACTCACCCCAAGATCTTTTTCCTTGAGTGAGGTTTGTAGTCTCTGGCCCCCTAGACTGTACTCCGTCTGCGGTCTTCTTTGCCCTTCCCCAATCTTCATGACTTTGCACTTGGTGGGGTTGAACTCCAGTAGCCAATTGCTGGACCAGGTCTGCAGCCTGTCCAGATCCCTTTGTAGTTCTGCCTGGTCTTCGATCGAATGAATTCTTCTCATCAACTTCACGTCATCTGCAAACAGGGACACTTCAGATTCTATTCTTTCCGTCATGTCGTTCACAAATACCAGAAACAGCACTGGTCCTAGGACTGACCCCTGTAGGACCCCGCTGGTCACAGGTGCCCACTCTGACACCTTGCCACGTGCCATGACTCGCTGCTGTCTTCCTGACAAGTATTCCCTGATCCATCACAGTGCCTTCCCTGTTATCCCTGCTTGGTCCTCCAGTTTTTGCACTAATCTCTTGTGTGGAACTGTGTCAAACGCCTTCTTGCAGTCCAAGAAAATGTGTGTGTATATGTATGTTCTCTAAGAATCATGAATGACCTGTTCTCTGAGAAACACTGTAACTGACCTGTTCTCTAAGAAACATTGTGACTGACCTGTTCTCTGGGTAACTTTTGTCTCTCATCTTCTCGAAGGCTGGCTGTCAAGCGCTGCCACAGTAAGTCCCGCCTGAGAGGATAATAAAAGATAATTTGTATTATCTAATTCGTGTAATCTTTGTAATGCTCCTTCAAGGGCCCTTGAAGGAGTGGCTGCAACAATATCTTAAGTTGCAAGTAATGTTAGTGAAGCTCTTCTTTTGTCGGAAACCCCCAGATGCCTTAAAAGTGCAGCTGTAGTTCCTCTGCACCAAGGATACAGCAGAGCATCAAAAAAGATAACTTAAAGACCAGCAGCACTTTTTCACACATAAAAATCCTTGACAGAATGATGAGACCACAACCAATCAATTGTAAAAATAAACTTCATTATTTATCAAGTACACAATTATTTAGAGAAGGAAGATTTCTTTTATTAACACATCGGCTGTTTCCCACCGAGGCAGGCTGACCCGAAAAAGAAGAAACATTTTCATCATCACTCATTCCATCACTGTCTTCCCAGAGTCATGCTGACACTACAGTTAAAAAAAAACTGCAACATATCTCCACCTCTCCTTCAGATTATGACAAAATCATAGAGGCTTTGGAAGACAACCAAGAAGTAAATGTGGTCTACACACTTTACAATGGAATCTGATAAATGTGATCATGGAGTGAGAGGCAATAAAATGGGATCAGTAACTAAAGTAGGAAAATGAATAAGCAATTATATAACAAAACACAAACAGCACTAGTAAATAAAACAAAATTTAGTCTTAGTTAAGTAAAGAAGTTCAGTATGTCCCAAGCAGAGTCCTGGCACTGCTCTTGTTTCTCATCCTCATAGTAGACCTTGATAAAAGTATTAGCAACAATTTTTTATTATTTGAGGATGATACCAAAGTAAGCATTTAACCCTTATAGTAGATGTCCTGTAGAAGTACATCATTAAGAGTCCCTTGTGTAGCTGCCATCTTAGTCAGATAAGTTATGAGTGGTAAGTTTTGGCCTAGATTTGAGAGACTGGGTCTGTGCACTGAGCGTACATAATATAAAAAAAATCCTGTCTCATACATAACAAAATGGGAAAAGTAAAATTCTGATCTCGTGTTTGGTTCAAAATAGCAAATTTGAGGTTTCTAGGGTGATTTTTATGGTTTTATTGGCAGTTTCTTGGTATGATTTGATAGAATGAAAAACATACTACTGAAGCAGGGATGATTTTAATTGCTTTCAGCGCTGAAAGTAGTTTGAAACTGGGCTCAAAATAGTTGAAATATCTGATTTTTGCCAATTTTCCTGAGGATGGGTAAGGCCCCCAGTTTGTATCATGGATTTTTAACCCTTAAACGGTCCAAACAGATCGACGTTCAAATTCATAGTGCTACAAAAGTAGATCTACTTTTTTTTTACATATTTTCAAATATAACAAAAAAAATGTAGATAAACGTTTTTTTTACACGTTTTCAAATGTAAAACAAAAAAGAAGATCTACATTTTTTGACATACTTTCAGATGTTGAAAAAACGTATATATACGTTTGGACCGTTTAAGGGTTAATAGGTCCGATTTAATTATCGGGACACAGCAAACTATGACCACATTCCTCGTTATATTTTTATTATCCAAGAAATAAGAGTAAATCTTGTATTTTTGTAATTATGAATTCAAAATGGAAGGCAAACATAATGTAGGGGAGACCTGAGACCAGAACAAATGTTGTTTTACTGCCTACAATGTCTACATTAATAAGTACTTTATTTTAAAATAAGCATTTTTTAATTTTGCATAAAACTGGTCAAATTAACGACTTCTGTGCACTTTATAGGGTAGTTGTAATAGCTGAATGGGCGGTAAGTAAGTTTACTCAGGTATACACAAATACAGTTACAAAGATTATCATACATAGCAGGATATGTATAGAGAACCTGGGATAACTCAAAAAAAAGTCAGAGTGACTTATTTCCATTGGGGTCCTTTTGTTACCTTATTGATAATACATGTATTACATTATTATAAAAAACAAATGTGGCAGATAAGAAATTACATCCTAGGTAGTAGGTTGGTAGACAGCAACTGCCCAGGGAGGTACTACCGTCCTGCCAAGTGAGTGTAAAACAAAAGCCTGTAATTGTTTTACATGATGGTAGGATTGCTGGAGTCCTTTTTTCTGTCTCATAAACATGCAAGATTTCAGGTACGTCTTGCTACTTCTACTTACACTTAGGTCACACTATACATACATGTACAAGCATATATATATACACACACCCCTCTGGGTTTTCTGCTATTTTCTTACTAGTTCTTGTTCTTCTTTATTTCCTCTTATCTCCATGGGGAAGTGGAACAGAATTCTTCTTTCGTAAGCCATGTGTGTTGTAAGAGGCAACTAAAATGCTGGGGGCAACGGGCTAGTAACCCCTTCTCTTGTATAAATTACTAAATTTAAAAAGAGAAACTTTCGTTTTTCTTTTTGGGCCACCCCGCCTTGGTGGGATACGGCCGGTTGGTTGAAAAAAAAAAGAAATTACGTATATAAAAATGACATACAACAAATTATATAAAATACTGAATAAAAGATGATGAAGATAGGATAAGTAGACCACAAGAATTATGACAATATAAAAAAATATGAAGAATACTAAATTATAATAGAATTCACTCTGAAAATTAATTATGAATCTGTTGGAATACAATGAAAAATAGAAGACAATGAATCTTTCTCTCTTTCAACACACTGGCCGTATCCCACTGAGGCAGGGCGGCCCAAAAGGAAAAACAAAAGTTTCTCCTTTAAAATTTAGTAATATATACAGGAGAAGGGGTTACTAGCCCCTTGCTCCCAAGACAATGAATATTTTTATTATTATTATCACACCGGCCGATTCCCACCAAGGCAGGGTGGCCCGAAAAAGAAAAACTTTCACCATCATTCACTCCATCACTGTCTTGCCAGAAGGGTGCTTTACACTACAGTTTTTAAACTGCAACATTAACACCCCTCCTTCAGAGTGCAGGCACTGTACTTCCCATCTCCAGGACTCAAGTCCGGCCTGCCGGTTTCCCTGAATCCCTTCATAAATGTTACTTTGCTCACACTCCAACAGCACGTCAAGTATTAAAAACCATTTGTCTCCATTCACTCCTATCAAACACGCTCACGCATGCCTGCTGGAAGTCCAAGCCCCTCGCACACAAAACCTCCTTTACCCCCTCCCTCCAACCCTTCCTAGGCCGACCCCTACCCCGCCTTCCTTCCACTACAGACTGATACACTCTTGAAGTCATTCTGTTTCGCTCCATTCTCTCTACATGTCCGAACCACCTCAACAACCCTTCCTCAGCCCTCTGGACAACAGTTTTGGTAATCCCGCACCTCCTCCTAACTTCCAAACTACGAATTCTCTGCATTATATTCACACCACACATTGCCCTCAGACATGACATCTCCACTGCCTCCAGCCTTCTCCTCGCTGCAACATTCATCACCCACGCTTCACACCCATATAAGAGCGTTGGTAAAACTATACTCTCATACATTCCCCTCTTTGCCTCCAAGGACAAAGTTCTTTGTTTCCACAGACTCCTAAGTGCACCACTCACTCTTTTTCCCTCATCAATTCTATGATTCACCTCATCTTTCATAGACCCATCCGCTGACACGTCCACTCCCAAATATCTGAATACGTTCACCTCCTCCATACTCTCTCCCTCCAATCTGATATTCAATCTTTCATCACCTAATCTTTTTGTTATCCTCATAACCTTACTCTTTCCTGTATTCACCTTTAATTTTCTTCTTTTGCACACCCTACCAAATTCATCCACCAATCTCTGCAACTTCTCTTCAGAATCTCCCAAGAGCACAGTGTCATCAGCAAAGAGCAGCTGTGACAACTCCCACTTTGTGTGTGATTCTTTATCTTTTAACTCCACGCCTCTTGCCAAAACCCTCGCATTTACTTCTCTTACAACCCCATCTATAAATATATTAAACAACCACGGTGACATCACACATCCTTGTCTAAGGCCTACTTTTACTGGGAAAAAATTTCCCTCTTTCCTACATACTCTAACTTGAGCCTCACTATCCTCGTAAAAACTCTTCACTGCTTTCAGTAACCTACCTCCTACACCATACACTTGCAACATCTGCCACATTGCCCCCCTATCCACCCTGTCATACGCCTTTTCCAAATCCATAAATGCCACAAAGACCTCTTTAGCCTTATCTAAATACTGTTCACTTATATGTTTCACTGTAAACACCTGGTCCACACACCCCCTACCTTTCCTAAAGCCTCCTTGTTCATCTGCTATCCTATTCTCCGTCTTACTCTTAATTCTTTCAATTATAACTCTACCATACACTTTACCAGGTACACTCAACAGACTTATCCCCCTATAATTTTTGCACTCTCTTTTATCCCCTTTGCCTTTATACAAAGGAACTATGCATGCTCTCTGCCAATCCCTAGGTACCTTACCCTCTTCCATACATTTATTAAATAATTGCACCAACCACTCCAAAACTATATCCCCACCTGCTTTTAACATTTCTATCTTTATCCCATCAATCCCGGCTGCCTTACCCCCTTTCATTTTACCTACTGCCTCACGAACTTCCCCCACACTCACAACTGGCTCTTCCTCACTCCTACAAGATGTTATTCCTCCTTGCCCTATACACGAAATCACAGCTTCCCTATCTTCATCAACATTTAACAATTCCTCAAAATATTCCTTCCATCTTCCCAATACCTCTAACTCTCCATTTAATAACTCTCCTCTCCTATTTTTAACTGACAAATCCATTTGTTCTCTAGGCTTTCTTAACTTGTTAATCTCACTCCAAAACTTTTTCTTATTTTCAACAAAATTTGTTGATAACATCTCACCCACTCTCTCATTTGCTCTCTTTTTACATTGCTTCACCACTCTCTTAACTTCTCTCTTTTTCTCCATATACTCTTCCCTCCTTGCATCACTTCTACTTTGTAAAAACTTCTCATATGCTAACTTTTTCTCCCTTACTACTCTCTTTACATCATCATTCCACCAATCGCTCCTCTTCCCTCCTGCACCCACTTTCCTGTAACCACAAACTTCTGCTGAACACTCTAACACTACATTTTTAAACCTACCCCATACCTCTTCGACCCCATTGCCTATGCTCTCATTAGCCCATCTATCCTCCAATAGCTGTTTATATCTTACCCTAACTGCCTCCTCTTTTAGTTTATAAACCTTCACCTCTCTCTTCCCTGATGCTTCTATTCTCCTTGTATCCCATCTACCTTTTACTCTCAGTATAGCTACAACTAGAAAGTGATCTGATATATCTGTGGCCCCTCTATAAACATGTACATCCTGAAGTCTACTCAACAGTCTTTTATCTACCAATACATAATCCAACAAACTACTGTCATTTCGCCCTACATCATATCGTGTATACTTATTTATCCTCTTTTTCTTAAAATATGTATTACCTATAACTAAACCCCTTTCTATACAAAGTTCAATCAAAGGGCTCCCATTATCATTTACACCATCTCTAGGGAATGCATTTATTGCCCTAATAACAATTGATAGACTGGAAAGCATACTATCAAAATAGCTAAGAACTTTGTCAAATGCAACAATAGAATTTACTTAAAATAGGACTCAAAGTCAGTGAAATTGCTAATGGATAAACTGTGCCCAGACTGCTAACTTTGCGCCTGTGTAATTGCATAGTTTTTCCATCAAATTTAGTACTTTTGGTGTCGTTACATTCAGAAAAAGTTTCTACTATCTGAGAAGAATTTTTTTTTTATAAGTAGACATTGGGAGCAATATCAATTTTGGGTCTGGTCAGTGAAAGGGCTAAAGTCACCTCAATAGGAGACAGAGAAATTATAAGCAGAAATGAACAATGTGTTCCAGTGAGCAATGAGGACAAATTCCAACATCTCATATATGGAAAAAATGAACTGAAAATGAGTATTGGATACAAAACATAGTAGAACTATTTTATAGAATGAAGAGAACATGTAAAAAGACTTGGGAATAATGATGATATTAGAACACTTGTCATTTAGAGAAGCAAATGTAACAAGGGCAAGAAAAATAACTGAGTGGAGCATGAGAACTTTCAAAACATAAGAAATAATACCAATCTTAACACTATTCAAGTCACTTGTTCTCTTGCTTCTACAATATTGTTTTGTACTCACAGCTGTGTTAAGGAAGGAGTGACATCAGAGATGGAAAGTGTACAATAGGACCCCTGTATCCACAGGGGATGTATTCCAAGGACCTGCTGCAGATACCAAGTGTGGATAGTAGCAAACCCTATTATAAAGTTTAACTGGTAAATTATGCACAATAGGTGGAGAAATGTCACTTTTTCACTGATGTGAAGCACTTCACGGCTTATCTTAGGCTTGGAAGAACTGCCAGCTTTTCTACTTTTGCACTTTGTGGCTATTTATTATGCAAAATTAAAGAGATATTTTGGGGCCACAGTAAACCATGGATAACTGAAACTGCGGATACCGAATCAGTGGATACGGGGGTTCTACTGTAGTGAAAAAATGTGCTACCTACAGAGCCAATAACATATTTACAATACTGAAAATGCCTAAAAGTACGTACTTGCAATGTACTCTCTTTAGTGGAGAGAGAGAGAGATACCTGGTAGGGGTGTGCTGAAGTAGTAGTACTAGTGGGTATTGGCTAATTTTGATGGTATCAATATTGGCTTAAACTGAGTACTGGTATCAGCATAGGCCAAAAATTTGGTATCATCCCATACCTAATACCTGGTAATATACATGGAAGATATCTGAGGGTCTGGTGTAAAGTCTACACACTACTGTAACAACTTGCTGGAGTGAGAGATATGGTAGGAAGTGTAAAATAAAGCCAGTGAAAGCAGGGAAGCCAAAGGGATAATAAAAGAACACCATGTCAACACCCATAGTCCAAGACAACCTAGCATGCTACCAGAAGATATCAGAAATATTGCTGGATCAGAGGTACAAGTCTTCAAGAAGAAACTGGAGCACTACATACAAGTGCCACATCAACTAGGGTGTGATGGGTATGTTGACTAACTGGCTGCTAACAGCAACAGCCAGGATGAACACTCAACAGGAAAGGCTGGTCTTAGGCCTAGCTGGGCAGAAATATAAAACTAATCACATGTATCTCATGGGTATGCCACAATGAAAAGTATGGAGATCATCAGTTAATAAGATAATTGGGGACAATGCTCTATATCAACATTCAGTGAATTTAAACATTTTTAAACCAAAACACATTTGGCAGAGATAAAAATTTATACACAAATAACTCACACACAGGAGAAAGAAACTAATGTCAACATTTCAGTCCAGCCTGAACCATTTACTAGTCCAAGTAGGACAAAAATGTCATCCTACGTGTGGGTTATTTGAGTATTGTTCCAGCCACGATATTGTGCCTTTTTCTTCTTTATAAAAATTTAATTACAGGAAAAACTTGTATGATATATCCCACCTGCAATGAATCTTAGCCTGGTTGAAGATGTGATGGATACGAGATCTTGCATCCTCTGCCTGAGCCTCCAGTGTCCTCTGCATGGTCTCTTCATACTGTGTGTAGTACCCAAGGTAGTTTACGCTCTCTGATCTGATGTATAAAGTAGTTATTAGGCGTAAATATGTGGCTATGAGCTGACAAATGGTAGTAAGATGAGATTTTCAGCAAAGAAGCTTTTTTTTAGTAATACGACATTACAGGTACTGGAGACTGCATCAAGTACAGTGGGCCTCCGCCTCACGAATGCATCGCGTTACGTTTAATTCGCCATACGAAGCATTTGAACGCAAAAATTTTGCCTCGCCTCACGATAAAAAACTCGCCTTACGTGATTTGTCCGGGACGCATCCCACGTGTGGCCTCAGCTGCCCCGTGGGTGCCCGTGTTTACAAGCCAGCCAGTGCGGTCGCATCCACGTATACATTTGGTACATTTCACCTTATCCCAGTGTTTTTTGTGCTTGTAACTGCAAAATAAGTCACCATGGGCCCCAAGAAAGCTTCTAGTGCCAACCCTGTGGTAAAAAGGGTGAGAATTAGTATGGAAATTAAGAAAGATTTTGAAGGGTTTGGAACTAACCCTGAGAAGCCTATGCCAGTTGTGGAATCCATTGTGCCTACTTCAAAGATTAAGGAAATGTGTGCAAAGTGGATTGAACTGCAAACCTTTATGGATGAAAATCACCCTAACACAACTATTGCAAGCTGTGCTGGTGACTATTACAATGACAATGTTGTGGCCCATTTTAGGCAAATCTTAAAGGAACGGGAGGTACAGAGCTCTATGGACAGATTTGTTGTGCAACTGAGGTCCAGTGGCTCTCAAGCTGGTCCTAGTGGCATTAAAAGAAGAAGGGAAGTAACCCCGGAAAAGGACTTGCTACCTCAAGTTCTAATGGAAGGGATTCCCCTTCTAAACAATAACTTCTACACTCCCCTCCTCCCATCCCATCAATCATCACCAGATTTTCAATAAAGGTAAGTGTCATGTATTCTATTCTTAGTAGAGTAGTAATTGTGCATGTCTTCTTCAGTTTGTGTGTATTAAAATTAATATTTCATGTGGTAAAAAATTTTTTTTTCATACTTTGAGGTGTCTTGCACGGATTAATTTGATTTCCATTATTTCTTATGGGGAAAATGAATTTGCTTTATGATAATTTCGATTTACGATGAGCTCTCAGGAACGGATTAATATCGTAAGGCGGGGGGTCCACTGTACTTGGACAAAACATTACACCTAATGGAGGCTTCATCAAGTACCTAGACAAAATGTTACATCTACTAGAGACTGCATCAAGTACCTGGACAAAACATTACATCTACTAGAGGCTTCATCAAGTACCTGGACAAAACATTACATCTACTGGAGACTGCATGAAATACCTGGACAAAACATACTATTAATAAGTTTTGCTGAAAGTGTCTTGTTACTACTATAATAATACTACTGTAAGTAGTGACTTAATAAAGCCCACTGCGTGGGCGAAACATTGTCAATAAAGTATCACATTATACTGCTTAAGTGTTTATATTTCCATTGTGTCAGTATTTTATAACATTTATTTCCATCCAGGATTCAAATCTGCAGAGGCAGAATGTGCTGGTTCGTATCCTGCTATGGGCTGAAAGATAATGTTTGCATATTTTAAAAAGTTTTACTAGAGCACCCTTCATCCTACAAACACATGTACTAACATACCTAATGCCAATATATGACTTGAGAGGGGGTGGGAGACCAACTGCAGTTGAGGCAGCTTGGGTAGCCTCATCTTCAGTAGCAGCAGACACAGCCGTTGCAGAAGGAGGGGTGACTGAACCACTCTGATCACTCTCTTCTGTCCATAAATTATATAATTTTGAGTTATCCAGGTAATTTGCACATATGTTCCTATGCAATAAGGTCACAGTAAATAGATGATATCACAATAAGCAAAACAACCACTGTGAAAAATAGTGAACTTCCAAGCGTTCCTGTGACTGCGTGAGAAATCATTAAAGTGCTCAGAAGTTCACTATTTTCTCACAGTGGGTGTTTTGCATATGTTACTATGTATGATAATTTGTGTAATTGTATTTATGTGTACCTGTACCTAAATAAACATAGAGTTATAAAAGTACTGCATTATCAAACACTACAGTCACTGTTAAGTGAATTCTCCTGACTCATCATCCAAATAATCTTAATCCTTTCTGGGAACTCATCAAAGGTATGCATCTCAGCGAGCTGCTGTTCTTATGATGAACACAGAGAAGAACTTCAATGAATGATGTTCATGTTCAGTTGATGATTAAGACCAATGTGTATCAGTTGGGTATCTTTATTACTGAAACATTTCACATACATAGTAGGCTTCTTCAGTCACATACAGAGGCAACAGGTGTATCTGACTGAAGACGTCTACTGTGTAGGCAAAACATTTCAACAATAAATATACTCAACTGTTACACTTGTATCTTCCCATCAACTTGTTGGTATTTTATACTATGTTCAACATAACATGTTCAGTCCATCATTTTCATGGCTATAAATTTACAATGAGTTCTTTTATTCAGAAAGATTTCATTGTGCAAATAAAACTTATGATATATTTACTATAATATTTTAAAATATTAAAGGCTTAAAGTACAACCAATCTTACCTGCATAGGTTGAATATGGAGTCCAGCGCTTTCCTAGGGAAGGTGCAATCGAGACAGTGCGAAACCGTCCCATCTTTTTCTCCAGAATACGATTCGGGTACATCTCCCTGGATTTGACAGTTCAGCACTGAGTAATCTCTATGAATTATGTACTATACTATAACTACAAACATATTGTATATTGCCACCCATAAGTCATCATAAGCCATAAGATGAGGGGGATAGGCTATTTCTCAAAAACTTATGCTTATGCTTAATCCAAAACCAAATAAATACTGAATAACTGAACCTTATAAATTGTATATCTTAAATGTTTCTCACAATTATATCACATAAATGTTAAACCTAAAACCCAATCTAACTTTATTATTTTTTAAATACACTACCTAACAGAATACTCCATTCTACTGAATGTACAACAATGCATACAACAATATGACCTGTCTTTGTAATACTCACTTGTGCTTTATAGTAACCTGTTTACATTAATGTTTTATCACTGATTTCATCATTGCTTAGTTAATCTTAAGTTAATTTTAAGCCAGCCCGTAATGCTATGCATAGTATAAGTGGCTTTGGCATACTGCTCTTACCTGTATTTGTTGTACCTCTGTATGTGTGCTCAAATTTTTAAATAAATAAATAAATAAATAGACATAAGATGGGGGAGGGGGTAGGGGGGAGGGGGAAAGGGTGGCAGAGCTGAGATATTTAGAGGCCTCACAGATGGAAATAGATCTCCCATCTGTGAGGCCTCTAAAGTAGAAAAAAAAGCAGAAAATAAAACTAAGGATTGTAAACTGTATACACTGCTTGACTGCTAGCTTACTCAGCTCACACACTGAGGTCCAGTGGTCAATCCCTGGTATAGGCGGAAACACTGCGGTGCCCCATGGCCTGGTGGCTAAAGCTCGTTTCACACGGCGAGGGTCTGGGTTCGATTCCCAGTGAGGGTAGAAACACTGGACGTGTTTCTTTACACCGGGTGTCTATGTTCACCAATCAGTAATATGGGTACCTGGGTGTTAGTCGGCTGGTGTGGGTCGCATTCTGGGACAAAGCTGACCTAACTTGCCTGAAATACTCAGCATAACAAGCAGCTTTCTATATAGCAGTACTGCCTGCCTGTCCTCCTTATCACTTTAAAAGAGGTCAAGGTGCAATAATTCAATAGACTTTTAGCTACTTTTTCTAGGAAACCAAGAACCTGGATGATCAGGTTCTGATCCACCAGGAGGCCTGGTCACAGACCGGGCCGCGGGGGCGTTGACCCCCGGAACTCTCTCCAGGTAAACTCCAGGTAAACAAGTAAAATTTAGAGGCCTTTTAATGTCATATTGTTTCTTAACCCTTTCAGGGTCCAAGGCCCAAATCTGGAGTCACGCACCAGTGTCCAAGAATTTTCAAAAAAAAAATTTGTTATTTTTTCTTATGAAATCGTAGAGAATCTTTTTGTGAAGGTAATAAAACAAAAAGTACGAAATTTGGTGGAAAATTGACGAAATTATGCTCTCGCGAATTTTGATGTGTCAGCGATATTTACGAATCGGCGATTTTGCCGACTTTGACTCCCATTTTAGGCCAATTACATTATTCCAATCAACCAAATTCTTAGCTATTTCACTAGTATTACTTCTATTCTATCGATTGAACACAAGAAATCGCCAAGTCAACTGTTTCAACTACAAAATAAAGTGATTGGAAATTGTTAATTTGGCCAATTTAACACAAAGTTCAAAATATTCCAATTTCAAAATAGGGTCCAGAATGAACAATGTAGGCATTCCTGGCACTAAACTAACATTTCCTCTGTTCATTAGTTATGTTTTGAGGCTTTACAAATAAATTCCATTTTGATTTTTTAGTCACATAATGAATTTTTATTCACACCAAAAAATAGAAGATTTACTGTTATGCAATACTGTAATAATTGTATAAATATTATCACCATATTTGTGAATGCATATTAGACCCACCAGCTGACGTGTATTAGATGTGTGAGGTCGTTTGTTTACTCTTGAATATCGGCAAAAATTTAACATTTCCGCTACTTTGAGCTCAGTTTCAAGCCATTTCCAATGCTAAAACCAATCAAAATCATCTCTATTTCTGTAAGATGTCTTCCATTCTATCAAATGAGACCAAGAAATCGCAAATACAACTATAAAAAACATACGAAAAAACACTGCAAAGTTGCTGTTTTAATCGAAAAATCATGATTTCATTTTTTTTCTCTCATTATACACAGTGTGCTGCAGGATCTGTTTTATGTGGTGCACACATACCACATAGATGTATTCTCTCATATCTAGGCCGAAATGTACCACTCACAGTTTATCAGAGTGAGCTGAGCTCATGGGGTAGATCTACGGTTTGGACCCTGAACGTAAAGCCGTAGATCTACGGGACGGACCCTGAAAGGGTTAAGTTAGAAATACATCAATTATAAGTCATTTGCATATCTCTCGTATCTTACGAGTGCAAGAATATACATACAGAACTATTTACATGACCTTAAGGTATCACCACCATTCATTCTTGCAAAGTTACCTAAGGTAACTTCACAGGGTTCTCCAAATCGCCTGTGAATAATCAAGATAATTTAACACGGGATGTAAGAGACACGTTTGTCCCCTTCGAGCACCATCTATCGTATTCTCAAAGGAATAGGGTTCTGTCACAACAAAGTATCTCAAAGAGATGCACCTTGGGCTGAAGACCAGCTGCTACTGCTTGCTGTGAGGAGGCATGACCTGACATGAGGCAGGTCACATGTCATTCTCAGAGGTAGCTTGGGGTTGAACCAGAGACTGGTTGTTACTCAAGCACTTTACAATACCTGCACTGTTACTCCTAACCTATGACGTTAAGTCAAGTTACAATACATATTAATTGAACATGATTTTGTTTAGTAAGATACTATGGCCCCAGATAATATTATGTAGTTGGACCCCCTTATTTTAGCTATTAACCCTTAAACGGTCCAAACGTATATATACGTTTTTTCAACATCTGAAAGTATGTAAAAAAATGTAGATCTTCTTTTTTGTTTTACATTTGAAAATGTGTAAAAAAACTTTTATCTAAATTTTTTTTGTTATATTTGAAAATATGCAAAAAAAAGTAGATCTACTTTTGTAGCAAGACGAATTTGAACGTCAATCTCTTTGGACCGTTTAAGGGTTAATAAGGAAGTTCGCAATATGATATTAAGTGATATTTCGGCACAAAGTAATGTGGAAGGTGACCAGGCGTAACAGTAGTATGCCACTGATGTCAGCTAGGCCTGTATACCTTGTACATGTACTTGTAGTAAATAAAGATATTATTATTATATGGGCTAGTAACCCCTTCTCCTGTAAACATTTACTAAAAAAGAGAAGAAGAAAAACTTTATAAAACTGGGATGCTTGAATGTGCGTGGATGTAGTGCGGATGACAAGAAACAGATGATTGCTGATGTTATGAATGAAAAGAAGTTGGATGTCCTGGCCCTAAGCGAAACAAAGCTGAAGGGGGTAGGGGAGTTTTGGTGGGGGGAAATAAATGGGATTAAATCTGGAGTATCTGAGAGAGTTAGAGCAAAGGAAGGGGTAGCAATAAACCAGCACCATTCTGAAATCCATTGATAAGAAACACCAATATGAAAAGCAATATAGACAGGGCTTAATACACAAAGATATTCTTAAACACTATTCATCAGTCCTCACCAAAGTAATAAAGAAAGCCAAACAACTATACTACTCCAGTAGATTCACTGACACAAGAGGAGATATAAAAAAGACCTGGAAAACACTCTCTCAGATTCTAGGGACCCACAAATGGAAAAAAAACAAGAATATTGTCCTAACTAAACCTAATGAAACACCACTGCAACCCACTGACACAGCTAACAAGATAATTGACTTCTTCTCAACCATAGGTTCTAATCTCGCCAATAAAATCCCACGAACCAATGCCCATGCCGGGGACTACCTAGATGGGAATTTCCCAAATTCCTTCTATCTTGCTCCAACTGAGCCCACGGAAGTCACCGAGATTATAAAGTCACTTAAAAATAACTCAGGGAATCTGTCTCATGTCCCACCATTATTGTACAAGAGAGCGGCCCATGTCCTCTCACATACTATCTCATTACTTTTTAACAAGTCACTAGAAACTAGCACCTTCCCAAAACTTCTCAAGATTGCAAGGGTTACACCAATACATAAAGGTGGTGACTCTACAGATTTAAACAACTATAGGCCAATATCAAACTTACCATTGCTATCCAAAATCTTTGAGAAACTCGTGCACAGGAGACTATATTCATTTATAACGGCACAAAACATACTCAACCCCTGCCAATTTGGATTCAGGAAAAATAAAAGCACTAACGATGCAATCATAAAAATGCTAGATCTGCTTTACACAGCATTGGAAAATAAGGAATATCCACTAGGAATTTTTATTGACCTAAGAAAAGCTTTTGACACAGTAGACCACGGCATCCTACTCCACAAACTTGACCATTATGGTATAAGACGCCATGCGCTTGCATATTTCAAATCTTACTTTACTAATAGGTATCAGTATGCCACCAATAAAGACACAGCATCAACAACACAGCCACTTAATACTGGAGTTCCACAGGGAAGTGTCCTTAGTCCCCTGCTCTTCCTCATATACATCAATGATCTTCCAAACATATCTCAACACCTGAACCCCATTCTCTTTGCTGACGACACGACTTATGTCATCTCTCACCCTAATCTTGCCACCCTCAACACCATTGTTAATGAGGAGCTGATCAAAATATCGACTTGGATGACAGCCAATAAACTTATGCTTAACGCTGACAAAACCTACTACATTATGTTTGGTAGCAGAGCAGGAGATGCGCAAATTAACATTAAGATCGACAACACTCTAATTACCAGGCATAATGAGGGCAAATTCCTAGGCCAATACCTCGACAACAACCTGAATTTCAGAACCCATATCCAACACATAACCAAAAAAGTATCCAAAACGGTTGGGATCCTCTCCAAGATACAATACTACATGCCGCAAACTGCCCTTCTCACCCTATACCATTCACTTATATATCCATACCTCACCTATGCTA